AATCTTATTAAAAAGCTCAAAATTTTGATGAAACTTTTGTCGAATTTTCCTAATTTTTTTTTACAATGTTTGAAATTTCGACTTACATTGTTTTTGTAAGATAACGAACTACACTTTCACAATAAACGCCAATTATACGAAAGGAAAATAGCCAAAGAATGCTAAAATGTTTCTTCCCTGTTTATAGTTCCGGCACTGTGTGAGTGTGTTTTTTTTTTTCAAAGTTCGTTGATGCTTCAAACTGCTACTAAGTTAAAAAAAAAAAATTAATTCTTAGCAATTAATGTTCAATAATTACCGGAAATTGCTCATTTTGCAAATTAAATACACACTTTCAAAGCTCTTACTTTTTTGTATGAAAAATGATTGCGAGTACAGTCATCACAAACATTCAAAAATAGTAAAATATAAATAAATAAGTATATGTACATACATACATACATACATATGTATGTGTTTATATTTTTCTTCTGAATGCAAGGTACTTTGTTAGGCATCTCGTGGAGGCAACATTCCTTTCAACATTCATCAATCACTAATCGATTTGTAGTAAATAGAATAAATATACATACATAAATATAACAACATACATATGTACATCCAAACAAAGTACATACATAGCTGTGATAGCGGCTGTCAATCATTTTGCTGTGCTTTTAATAGCCTCAGCTCAAATCACGCCGAAGGGGTGCTGTTAGAAAGCCTCTGGGTCCGCTATGATTGAATTGAGCTCAACGAGCAACTAATTAAAGGCAAAGAGCAAAAATCAATGCCGAAGATAGTGCACTTTTTTTCTTCTCGTTATTAATTAGCACAGCATCGTCTCGAGTGTAAAGTAATTAAAAAAAAAAAGGTGGCAAGGCAATGCGAGAATTTATCAGTGTACGTGCTGTGCTACAGGATTGTATTATCACGGGTCAAACAGCAAAGCAGACGACTGCAATGGCTAAATTTATTGCTCACTAATGGCTGACACATGTCAGTGCTGGCGATGATTCGTTTAATTGAAAATAGTAAAAAAAAAACTAGCTAAAATGAGTGCATTTAAAAATAAAATGTAATTAAAAGCTCTGCGCCGTGGTGTTGGTGGCATAGATGGTGGTTCCCTGTGCATAGAAAATAAATGGAGGAGGGGCACTACTAGTAATGTCCCAACAGGAAATAAAAAAAAAACATTTTGTTTATGCATCATCACAATTTTGTTTACAGTGGGTCTATGTTTTACTTCTGGGTCACAAATCAATCGTCTTAAGGCGGGTTTCCACTAGTGAAACACTCACATTTTCAAATGGGTCTAAACAACAGCGTATCAACTGACTGATCAACATATTTGTACAATGACGAGCAAAAGTATTGGCACAGAGAATTTTTCGCAATGTATGCAAAGTTTTCTAATTTATTTTTAGCTAAATTTTTACAATAGAAAACACAAAAATAGAAACACTCAGGAAAATTCAGTAAATTTGCATACTAATTTGCAAATTTCTAATCAGAGTTTTTTTAGAAAAATTCTAGGTACGTTTTCAGTTTTATAGCACATTCACTTGTTGTGTAATAAAGTGCAAGTTTTACTTTTAAAAACCACTTAAAATTTAAAGTTATATAAAATGTGACATAGATACATTTGTATATATGAATATAAATAAGCTTACGCATTACACAATAAAGGTTTGACCAGATTTACATTGCTTTTCCATGGCCCTGAAACGGCCACTAATGTTTACCTCGTAACCATTTAACCCGCGCTCCGCGATGTGCAGAATCTCGAATATCAGATGCAAACTGAAATGCCGGCATGAATGAGCAACAATTGCCACGCATTTACGCGCACATAAACATAACCAATAACAATAACAATTACACTGCTTCACTACTACACGTAAATACATACATACATACATAAGAACTTTAATACAATAAAATATCAGGCCAGTTCGAATACACGTAAAAGTGAAAACGAGTTTTCAATGGCCGAAAGGAGAAGAGAGGAACGCTGAAGGCTGAGGGTGGCAGCTTAAATCACGGTCAAATCAATGGATTCTATGAAAAAAAAATAGCAATCGAATAAGAAATGACAAAAAAAAAAAACTCTGGAAACGTTGAAAAACTACGAATATACTTTGCGCCATTGAATTGGAGTTGTCTGTAGTTGTTGCCACAGCAATGACGCCACCGCCACAGACTCGCTGGAAGCACAATCCCATTAATTTTGGTCCCGATTTGAGTAGGGTAAGGCGTGTAAAAAAATTAATTAAAATTTTTTGAGTCTCCATAGGGGAATCTGAACTTTGACTTCTGTGCAACACGCCTTAACCGACTCCAATCGGGACCAAAATTTATACGTGATATGTGCGCCTACAGTAGTATCGATTTTGGGTATTAGATGAAAAAAAATTTATTTAAATTTTTTGAGTCTCCATAGAGGAATCTGAACTTTGACCTCTGTGCGACACGCCTTAACCGTCTCCAATCGGGACTAAAATTTATATGTGATATCTTTGACCGTTGTATTAGCGACTGAGGGAGTGAGACTTAACATTTCATTTTTAATGGCCACCCTAATGTACATATGTATAAATGTTGTGCTTTTGCTTTTATGGTTAAAATACCGATTTCATGTCGAAGGCGGTTTTGACCATATCTGGCAGAGAGTCAACATTCGATTTGTCACAGCACCTTTGCTGGTTGATTACACAATAAATGACACTGGGAGAAATTACCTACACTGTTTAACGGCAGCATTTTTATTAATTTATTTATTCAAGTCAATGGAATATTACATCCTTGCAGACTAATGGCTTTATTCATAAAAAATAAAGTAGGTTTCAAGAGCTTTATAAAATGACGTTGTCATACATTTTTCAGTTTATAAACCTTTTTTAAACCTACTTTATTTTTTATGAATAAGGCCATAAGATTACAATTTGGATTGATTATAAAAATAATACGAGGAAATAAGTAATATTTCAATGACTTTATATAACTCGCGTTTAAGGAAATTTCTGTGCAATGAAATATCTAAAAAATTATATTTTGTTAACAGTTTATTGAATTCTAAAAGCGACCTAGTGATAAGGTTCATTTAAAGC